TTTAGATTTTTTATTTAGTTAGGGTCAACTAATGTAAATTGTGCTAGTTTCTCGTGCTCCACCAATCTAACTGACACGATCTTACTACTTCACTCCACCTTCTCTCGCATATTCGTTGCACTGCTCTGCCACATCTCATTTATTTTGCATTCTCAGTAGGCTTCCAAGCTTCGAACATCATGCCGATACTCCATATCCCTATGCCTATTTCTTAAACGCACTGACATTTTTGTAGCGATCGGATTGATTTTCCAAGGGATGGTCGTGAAGAACTCACAAACCTTCCCTGTTTTCCAGGACATAGTACTGTCCAGTAAAGCAGCAAGATAGTGTGAAAGTTTTAGCATAATATTACTTCTGAATAATTACTGCATCGGGGTCTGGGTACTTCAGCAGTAGTGTTTATCTGACTCAGGTAGCTACCAATGGTCAAAAAGTTGGGAGGAGGTGACTTGCGTAATGGATCACGCTGTTACAACTCATATGTGCACATCAGGCGGAAGGAATGGCGAGGACGGATGAAGTGGAATAGTGTATTCGAAGAATTGTGATATGGTGAGGTCCTTACGAAGTGTGGATGAATCGGCACTGCTGGTGTCTGTTATAACCTATTTTGTTTTCATTGTCTAAGATTAGGTCTTAGTAATCATCATGAGGTCAGCGAGGGAGCTGTGTAACTCAAAGAACAATGAGTTGCTTTTCAGCTCCGAACACTGTGTGAACACTCTACCTCCTGATGCTTATTTTTGCTTTAATCGAAAGAAGTCACATCGATTGACCATCTGTTCGAAGGCTTTCGTCGCCTGGCATCATTTCATTTCTCCGATTCCATGAAGAATAAGGTGGTTGTTTCTTTATTTCTGTGCCTGAAAATTTGTTTGAAGATTAGAGTGATTGTCCGAGATATGGTAGCTAGCTGTACGCTAACTTTTCTCGTATTTCAATTCTCCGGAACGGCCAGTAAACTAGTGAAATAGGCGAGGTTATTTTGAAAATTTCCAGTTCAAACAACTCTGAACTTGTATAAGTCATATATTTGGATAACTGACGGCTTCGCATTACTAACTGGCAGAACAGATTACATACCTGGCTAAAAATACACACCTTGGATATTATTTATAAGCAAGGTGAATATAACGCGTCTGTAATATAATGTCCCTAAATAATGATAAGTGTTACTGCTACTTATTCACTAGCACGCTCAAATATACATTTAGAAGATATTACCTGTATATCAGTCACAAAATTAAGACTGGAATTTTCATTTAGTTGGGATATTGTAAACACACATCTCATTCAAATTCTTCCATAGAAAGAGAAAGATACTTTAGAATGTCAGAGTTATTCCTCATTCCAATACTCAGCTCACGAATCACCTTGATTTTCACCTTACTTTTTATCGCCCATATAATCCTTAATCATTACATTCAACAATTTAAGGCATCATTTGTTACAGTGGAGATAATCTATGAGCATAAATGCATTCAATTTAAACAACCTGAAGTCACGGAATATACACATTGGATCATAAGAATTATTAAAAAGATGGTTATAGCGAAGAAAATTTTCTTTTCGATAAAGTCATCAACTAGGCTGTATGTACATTCGCGTATTTATATTAAATGTGTGAGAAAATTCCAGAATTATTTCCGGTCAAAGGTCAAATTAATAAAATAACTAAGTGTAATAAATAGAAGAAATTCGTCCAACCGTTTTCACTACCGTGGCCACCGTGAAAAGTCAGTCCCACCAATAATGACTATCCAATTACCTTTCTTGTTCAACCTTTCCGTTTATTTCTGTTATATTTACGTTTTTAATCCCTATCTGGATTACCAGATTTGGTTACTATTTTTATTTTATTTCTGTGTGTCCCAAACTCCTACCTTTTTTTGTTAATACCACATCCTTAATTCGTAATTATGCAAACTAACGAATTTCCCAGTAATTATAATCTTATTATTACCCGACCTTCCTGATTATTGCACACCGTAATTTCTAATTTAACCTTTGACCGGAAATAATTCTGGAACTTTCTCACACATTTAATATAAATACACGAATGTACAGCCTAGTTGATAACTTTGTCGAAAAAAAAATTGTTTTCACGACAACCGTCTTTTTGACAACCTTGAATGCAAGTGAATAGAACTACTTAGTGTTGTACCAAGAAGGAACGTAGCTCCAAAGCATTAACCTTACAAGATACAAAACTAATAGGTACTCTTTATCAAACTTTCTGAAGCTAAGACATATTTCACAATACTTCACTTTAGACTACTGAAGAATGAAGCTTAACTCTGAAACTTTATCAAAATAGAACTGTAGACATCTAATTTATATTTATGTGGTGCTTCTTAAATTCATGACAACAGAATATGGTGCAACCATAAGCAAAAGTACGAATTTCGCTAACGTTCTATAGCACTAAATTTGTCTATGATTTTCGAAATACGGAGTACGTTGTTGTAAGTGGTTTCCCAAGTTAACTAAGTTGAAACAATCAACGTCGACAATTCCAGTTGTTCAGCAAATGCTGGATTACTGAATTCGAATTTTATTTATTTATTTTTTATCTTTTTCACTTATTTTTGATTACAGCTTGATTCCACACCGTATTTTTGGTAGAAGTATGGAATTTTCAGCATGGATATCGGTAGCCCAAATTGTGTAGGCCGACCATAGATATCAGGTGTGCGTTGGCAGGGGATCGAACCTCGAACCATGTGCATGGTCGGCGAGAGTCCTAACCACTGTGCCACCGACGCATGACAAAAATATGCTGTTTATTTATCGTAATTTAGAAAATCGTTTAAATCTTTTCACCTTCACGACAAATGTGGGGCAGAAAAATAAGCGATAAATATTTTACTTATATTACCTTTCTTTCCAGTCTCTCAGTGGTCTATAAAATATGCATTAAAGCATTATAAAATGCATTCATCGGTACTTTTACTGTTTCACATTATGATCATAGGTCTTCAATTACCAACAGGGGTATTCACTGAAATACTCTGATGCAATTATGTCAAATGGTATTCACCTTGTGATGATGAATTCATTCAACAGTTTTAACCGGTAAGTACTCATCATCTGTCATATGTTTATTTAGCTCATTCTGGTTATATTCCAGGTTCCCGTTTCAAAGTGTCATAAGTATACTAGAATTTAACTAATTTACTGTAAGTAGGGTTAGTGGTCTGCCTTTGACTCAGCTAACTAACATTATTGTCAACAGGCGCTTCAATTCTTGCAAGCATTTGGCTCAAGTTATCTCGTTTGATGCTGAAAAACCTCTTTATTCTCGAATTTCTCATTGTCTCTCTTCGGTTTAACCAGAAGAGACTTCATAAGAACTTATGTTCGTACAACTAAATATAAAAATTTTAGTATACCACCCTATTTAGCACGGGTAATTGTGTGTGAAGAGATGGTCAGATGTGAAAAAAGAACTTATAAACTTCTTAAATCAGTAATCTGAACTGCAAAGTATGAGCAAAGATTATTATTACATGTATTATGTATGATATTATCCATTTATAGTTCATTATGTTTCCGCCAACATTCTGTTTATATTGGTTTCGTCACTAATATTATTACTGCTATTTTAAATTTTATGGATGTACATATTTATGAAAGGAACTAAATTGTTGAAATATGTATAAAAACCCTGAGAATGCCGTTCTGTATAATTATTATTGCTTGGAATAAAAGTTATTATTATTAGTGACAAATAAACCAGAACAAAAACGCTGATATTTAATGTTGTTTTAATACAGTCAATCTAAAAATCACATTCAGTACTGATTAAACAAGAAATATTACAGAGTAGTCGTCAGTTTCATTCAAATTCGCAGTTATAATCTCTTTGCACAAAAAAAGAAAAGAATTCAATTCCTTCCTATATCTCACAGTGAATAGTTTAAAAATACAGCAGGATAGTTCTAACACATTTTATGTGATGTGTGTGGCAGTGAATGCATTTTCTGAAATCTTTACTGATTGATATCACAACTTTTCTAAAGTGTTGTTCTATTTTTTTTCAACATTCATAACCTTTTCTTCACAGTATACTACTAAAATTATTTTAATGTGAGTATTACAGTTGATAAGCAGTGATTCTAAAGGCTTTCATAAGGTGGTTAGATGGACTGTATCAACCTTCATCATGAGCGCATATTACGCATATTACGCATATATATATATATATATATATATATATATATATATATATATATATATATATATACGTATAAGTGAGTTTCCTCCGCCTAATTATAACTTATATTATAGATGAATTACATAAATGTATCAAAATGAAATCAAAAAGAAACCGATAAATAATAAAACCTGAAGTGATAATAAGAATAGTATTAGTAAATAGATTAAACAAAAAAAATGAATAGATGGAGCACAACCAGTATATGTTTCACTTTAACAAACTAAAAATTAATTTCACAACCCAGAATTCCTCTTTAAGAATAAATAATTGGATGATAATTTTTGAAATGTTTCACAACCAATTGTTTCTCTTCTACAAAATCATGTCACTAAGAAAGAGGTTCATTATATTGGTGAAATCCATAGATACCATCTATGTCACAACCTAAATGATGTTCTTTTGTAGAGCTTACTTAATTCAAGTCAAATAGAAGTATGCATACAAAGCATTAGACTACGGGATAATAGAAAATTTCACCTACAATTGAATTAGGGGTGTAAGAAAGCGATAGTATTTTTCAGTTTTTATCTTTGGTCTGTAAACTGTAAGATACCAGGTATATATATATATATATATATATAGAGAGAGAGAGAGAGAGAGAGAGAGAGAGAGTCATATTACCTCCTGTCTACACGCATACAGAAAGGCATCATTCGTGTAGAGATTTCAGCTGAATAATTAGAAACAGAAATCTCATATAATGCCTTATAACTGACTTCCTGAGAAAACATACATTTATGGGTATATTTAATGATTGGATATGTCCTAGTATTTATTGCTAAGGATCTCCAGGAGGCCTCTTTCTTATTTCAGTATTTCTCTTCCGAAAACGATTCGGTGATTTTTGTGACCGTTCAGAATTTCGATAAATAACATTTCCACCATCAATATTTTCTGAAATGCGCAAAGGACTTGTCTGTTGGTCAACTAAACGTTGATAAGGCGATAAATAACCTGTCATACTGTCCAAAGAATCTGATGAATCATAAGTAGATTTTCGTCCTACAGAAACAGAAGAACCAAATTCTTGAATTTTCGTCTTTTCACTTGCGGTCAAATCTAAAGTAGTTGATGTTTTAGTATCAGGAAAGTTTATTTGTTGATTAATTTGTGCTATGTCAATAACTTTATCGGTATTAGGCAATACTGTTGTTGTCTGAAAGTTATTTGTTATAATTGTTTCGTTCTCCATAAAGCTTGAATTGTAATTTTTTAGTCGATATTCTCTCAGGAACTCCACGACACTATATTCAGACGAACGAGGTATTAGTAGACCGAATGCTGCACACAAATGTATAATTAAATAACATATAAAAAATATGCGATCCATTACGATGGCTATCATACGCCATTCTTTGATGATAACATTCTCAGCATCTTTTTTGTCCACTCTGCTCAGAAATGACTTGACAATGGAACGAATATCTTCAACTTCATTCTCCATATTTTTCATAAGCAATATTAGGGTTGATGATAGTTGCAACTGTTGTAGAGTTTTATCAGTATTTATCGTTGTAATCGTTGAAGTAGCACTGATCGATGAATGGGGAGTACTTCTAATTATTGAAGGTAATTTTGACTGCACACCTGAATAATTGGAAGTATATTCATTATGATCTGTATAATTACGCCCACGTGGAGATATCAGTGCTGGTCTACCATTCCTATATTCATATCGTACATGAGAACAAATTGAGTTTGTATCTAATGTAACATTTGTGTTAGCCATGGAATGACGATTCATTGATAGGTAATCATAGGGGTTTGTTTTAAACATCAGTGCATTAAGGTGCTGTTTACATACATCACAATCTTCAGGATGTTTTCCGTGTTTTGAACTATGCACTCTTGTATGAACAGATCTTGGATTTGTAGAAGTAGTTATTAAAGGTAGAGTATCACAGACATTACCAGGTATTTTTGATGCACACGCTCTACAGTGGTGCTGACAACATGCGTTTGAATGCTGCATATTTCCTAAAACATCACAATCATTAAACTTGGAAGGCGTCAGTGAGCGACTTCTTGTTTTTGACAGCTTAGAATAAGGATGACATGTTGTTAGTGATGGCTGAACGTCTAATTCTCTATAGTTAACTGTTTCAGTTTGTGTTTCACAGTGACGTTGATTTGGTCGATACCTCTTTTGTTCAACAGGAATTGCATCATAATTGTAGTTATCAACAATTAAAGTTTTTAATCCAGTGTTTTCTTCTACAGTAGCAAAACGCGTTCTACCTTTTTTAGAACGTCTCATCCCACCAGTACTTTCAATGCACTTTGATGGATCTTGTGGATCACTGATCGAATTAACTAAAGCTGATTTTTTTATTTGTATCAGTTGGGATTCACAGTCAGTTTTATTTTTATTAGCACTTATAGTTTCAAAGACAGTAGTGATTACATTCGTTGTCGGATCTTTGCTGCCATCAGTACAACTACATTTGCCGTCACAGACACCATTTAGGAAGTGACAAATCTGAAAAGTGAAAGCAACAAACATGTAAATAAGTATTGGTTATCGTATTTTTCTATGCTTATAAATTGCCGATAGCAACTAGAAAGAAGCAAATGATCTTTTTAACTTTATGAAGAGACTGCATAAATCCGTTCAACCATTTTACAGCGCATAAGGACATTGATTCACAGTAAAATCTTCTAGTTAAAATTGTTCTTTCAAATAAGAATTAGTCACTAACTGGTAACACTGAAGAAAATTATAAAATATTAACAAATAACAGTGATTTTTCTGAACATTTTGCTGTGTAAGCCACAGCTTCTTTAGCATATTTATTCGGATTTTTATTGATCATCAAAATATATAGTCATATCGAAAGAACACAGCTGAACAACTTCAAAGACTATTTACTTCATATAATATTAAAGTCTATGTCAAACCTTCGAATTCTTTGGAGAAAGCGTTGGTGCATGTGAAAGATACAGTTACCAAAATGTCACAAAGTAATTGTGTCCACAGGATAAAGTGTTTAGAATGCGATGCATGCTATATAGGGGAGAGCAGTAGGCAAGTGAAGGTCAGAGTGAATGAACATAGACTATGCACGAAACGTCCACCTAGAAATGAAGTAGAATTAAGAAGTCTAGAAAAAAGATCGGCTACAGCAATACATACGATAGACAATGGACATAAAATTGACTTCGACAATATCGAAATTTTTGGAAGAGGATTTCATTCACATAGAGAAAGACTGATTTCTGAAGCCTTGCACATTTTAACCACATCGAATGCAGTGAATAGGAAAGAAGGGATAGACTTATCACCTATATGTCAAACTCTTATGAAGCAAGACAGATGAAAAAGCAACAAACACTCTATGAGCCTCCATGACCTTTTCAAACATGTAGTATCATGTTTATCACATATTTATTATCCATATGACAAATAACATACACACAACTCATACAAAACTAATCTTTACAAATCAACTATAGAAGAGCACACACAACAACAATTTCACATTAGTCATTACAAATATATGTGATGACTTCTTACATATTTCTATTAGTATAAATGTTTATGGGCGAATGACCTTCAAATAAATTGACTTCAGTTTATGTAAAAATTTTTGACTATATATTTTGCTGATTAATAAAAATCCGAATAAATCTGCTGAAGAAGCTGTGGCTTACACAGCGAAACGTTCAGAAAAATCTTGTTTTGATTTTCTTAACACGCTGGGGTTAATTTAAATAATTTATTGATACAGTACCAACTGGATGTAAAATGCTGAGAATTCCATTCTGTATTCGCAAATATTTTTTTTGAATAAAGCTTATTATTATTATAATGAATCAATCTGATTTGGCGCTCAAATTATTCCAGGAAGTTCGTAACACCTACGGTCTGGAAACTTATAAATAACAGTGACTCTTTAATACATGAGCATAAAAGGTGGTAGACTAAAAAGTTAAATAAATAATGAGATAAAACGGTATATTTTTAAGGAAAACATGAATATATATGAGTATAGATAGCACTTTAAATTGTTTAACTATAAGATTAAAGCATATTTGCCTGTTTTTACTCTGAAGATGCCAACTCTGGATTTTAAAATAAAATTCATGGATAGGATTATTTAAAACAGCACGAATGTAATCGCTAACTCACTCAGCATACTTTTAGTCAAATTCTCCCCGTGTAAACGGATTTCACCTCTGGCGAAATTAATTTATTCAGGTAGTCAATGGGAAACTAAACTTGCATAAACACTCATCTGTTGTCTGAAAGAAGCCGAATTTCAAAACAACACTGTCACAACTATAATGCCAAAACTTTATTCCACATGAAATTATTAACTTGTGCATTAATTCCTCATGAATAATACTCAGATCATCGACCAAACAAATGAGTAATTCAACCCAAAAAGGTATAATTTTGTGAATAGTACAATCTTTGTTACAGAATGTAAGAACTTTAGAATTAAAAGCAAATACGTCATCAAGTGAAAACTTCAGTTAGATCTTTTAGTGTACCTCTGATAATGAAACACCAATAATAATACTTTAAAGTGCGGTTACTAGATAAATAAGTAAACACATAGTAAAACACTTGAAAAATTAGTCTGAATACTTATGAATATCCTAGCACTAAATTTTTAATATGCTCGTGTTATATGAGAAAGGTGGATTGTAGAAAGGTAAAGAGTACATTCAAAGTGTACATTAATTTCGTATTCATTTGCTTATTGGATAAACCACATAGTGAAACACTTTTATCTACTGGACATTACAATTTACTTCAGAATAATTAAGATTGTAATTTGATAGAAAGCTTAACACAGTAATTAAATGTTTATTACGAAATGCAGCCAAAATTTTGAATAAAAATTTATTAAATACCTGTCAGTTCTTATTTCATTTGTTTTAAATGTCACAAGCGATATCACAAATAGTCACATAGAACTATGTACTTCTCATTGATTAAGATGAACAGTTGTGTACCACTCATGTCAACCAGTAGTGCTTGCTAGCTAAATTGAGGGGATCTAAACACCGCTCGTTTAAGGCAAAGCTCATCACCAGCCAGTACAATTTGACTCAGCTCAGGGAGCCAAACCAGTTCAAACCATCCAATTTTTGGCTAGCTACTTGAGTGAACTGGTAACAGGACACACTGAATTTACACTTTGCAGATAAATTTACAATTTACACAGTTCGAGGATGTGAAATCTCACTACAGTTTCATTCTAAGAACCGAATTCCTCAGATTACCATAGACGACAGTCAAGCAAGCAAACATATTGGAATATTTGGCATCAGGGAGATTACACATATTGTGATTTGAATTACTTGGTGTACAAAGGGAACTATGGGGAAATTTTGCTTCTCAAACTGTGTAGATTGCATATTGCTAACCAATTTGTAAACTGTGAATTTGATTTCCGAGATCACTGCAAATTTCATAGGTATCTTTAATAGTTACTGAAATCATATTACTCCTTAGACGTTATATTTCATAAGATTTTATAAAATTGCGTCATATCTGTGTTTTCATACATATTTTCCTTTAGTAAATGATAATTTATCAAGCCTTGATCACTACCAGACAAATTTAGAATAAAATCAGAGATGATTTGTGTTAAAATGCATTTTTATCTCACCTTTCTCAAGCATAATGGGACGCGATTACGTCTATCCCCACGGAAATAGAGATTAATTACTATCACTGACAAGAAGGAGGATAAGGTAATTAAAATCATGTTCAAACAGTAATAGTATCCTGTAACAACAAAAGAAAGCATAATTAGTAAAGACGGATAGTACTTTGGTGTATAACTAGTTACGTTCACAGTTTCAATGTTCTTATTATTTACGTCAATTAAGCTACAAATTAGACCTGCAGTATCAGTCACAATGTCAATAATGCAAAAGCAACAGTATATTTTTCATATTCACACTCTGAATAAAGTCGAATAATCGATGGGAACTAGGATCATTTCTCAGAGTTAGACATTCTTTCCTTTTATCAACATTTTTCTCATAATTTTTATTTGTCACATTTTAGCCCTACGTTTTTACAGTGTTTTTGGTTAACACCAGTAAGCAAGCAACTCGTGAATTTCATTGGTGGTAATGACTTATCGGTGTAATTTTGTGCACCGACACGAGATTTTTATCGCTTTAAGCAAAACTATCCTCTATTTTTGTTATAACTTAGTCAATAGTGTCTTCAATTTTTCGTCCTACGAAGGCTCTAAGCAGTATGCATGATGATAAAAAGAATTATTTACTCGTTATCATAGGGAAATTGGTTCTAAGCATATTTCACCTTGATATGATTATGAGCAATAAATTGTGCTCGAAACGTCATCAGTGAACATTACTGTATAACACTGTGAAACTTTATCAAAACAAAATTTACTCATATTTCAAAAAATTCTGAATTATATGCTTGATTCTGTATATGGTGTTTCCAATCCTGGTAACTTGTAAAATTTATTAAAAACAACTTAGTACTTCATTATTCGCGGTTAAACAAATATTGACCTGGGATATCAGGCACTTTTAATATTATATACGTCTAAACACATACACTTGCAAATATGCAGGCATATGCTTAAGAAGATAGTTTCAAGAATTTGTTAGGGACACTGAGGACTTACACAATAGATTGAACAAGTAATACGTCTTAGCAGTGCTTAACTTTACGATTTCTATTATCCCACCACGACTTTACTTGAAATTTATAATTATTCAATAATTTTTCAAATGAATACCATGGACTAGTTAAAGTTCATATAAGTATATTCAACTTTTAACCAACTGCTTACCAATATATGGCACACTGTTTGAAGCTTGAGGTGTTGAGTCGGCTAACAATAATAGCAACAGAAAGAATGCCACAAATATATTCATTCCTAAAGTATGAAAAACGAACGAAAAGAGATATTGTTTCATGGTAACGCGCAAATATATATAATTTACACATACAAAAATACAGATCTGGTATTAAATGTACTCTTTTTCATTGCAAAAAGAGGCTGACATGTCAACCTGAAACCGAGCACTTCGATACAATCAATCGACCGGAAAATCTAAAATTGAATTAGATTAATATGACTCGTTGCACAAGAGGTGGCTATCGTCGCCCAAGTGATCTAGTGGATAACGCTTTGGCATCTGAAACTATGAGCACTGAATTCGGGCCTCGGTGGGAACATCATCACTCACTAAGAAATGCAGGTGCACCCAGATGACGAGTCCTAAATAGGACAAAGTGCGCACTATCCACCAATTAAATTGTAATAAGAGTAACATTGGAAGCTTGAGGAACAATCTATCCTCCTTGTTCACCATTGTATCGTTAATGAAGACAGTGGATTTTATATGTGATGAGATTACTACGCGAAACATAGACATCGGCATTTCTCTATCCCCCTTGAAGGAATTTATTTTAAGATATACAATGAATGTTTATTTCTTGTTCAATAGAAATATTACAGACAAACTGATGATGTAGCTATGGTTTCCCCATTGGGTCCAATCCTTGCTGATTTTTTCCTCGCTAATTTAGAGAATGGACCACTGAAAGGAGTAATTAACGACTTGGGTTTCTACTGTCGATATATGGGTGATACATTTCTGGTTATGAAAAACGAGGATGATGCAATGAACATCTTTGACAAGTTTAATGATGCCCACTCAGCATTAGGCTTTACCAAAGAGAAAAAAGCAATGACAGTCTCTCATTCCTAGACGTCTTCCTAGCAAAGAAAGAAGATACCGCACTAAGAAGCAATGTGTACAGGAAATCTACAACAACAGGTCAGTACACTCATTTTTCGAGTTTAGTACCTTTGAAATATAAACGTAACCTGGCAAGGTGTCTGGTTCAATGAGCTAGGTTAACCTGCTCAGACGACTGCCTCAATGAGGAGCTTAAGATTATTAGAGAATTACTTAGAAAAAATGGTTATCCAGGTAAGTTCAATGAGAAAAATATGAATTCAGCACCCAGGAGAGTTAGTATGGCAACACTTCCGAAAAAACCCATTGTTCATAAAACTGGAGTTCCTCGGTGACAACACCAGTGGAAAAATAACACAGAGCCTGAAGAATGCAGTTAAAAGAGCTTATCGCACAGCAGAGGTATGTAGTCTCTTCACTACCATTCCTACTTTACGTTCTAGAAAAAATGATACACTAACTAAATTTGCGTCCTATATATGTATCTACCAATTTGACTACAACTGTGGAGCCAGCTACATCGAGCGTACAATTAGGCAGATTCATCATCGTATTTCCGCACATCATCCACCATGGTTAAGCAAGAGACAAACAAGATCTATTCGTAGCTCTACTGTAGCACACTTTGTAGACAGTGAGCATAAGGTTGACGTTAATACAGCATTTAAAATTATTTATCGCATTTCTACTAATCGCAATTTTGCTTCACGAGTTCGTCTTCCACATACAGCTAAAGCAATAAGAATACACCTGAAGAAGCCAAATCTGAATGTTCAGAGGAAATTTGTACAGCCACTTTCCTTACCTTGGTTATCGTTACATGAATGCGTAAACTGGACTACTTCTCCCCCCTACCCCTAAACCTTTAAAAATTATAATCTCCCAACTTATTTTATTATTTTCTGACCACTTCATCTTTAATTACATGTTATCTTTGTGAAATTATTTTATTTATTATGACCACTTCATGCTTAGTTACAAGTTATCATTGTCCAAATCGTTTTATTTTCTTTAACAATCTGTTACGTAATCGACCTGTGCATACGCTTACTTCTTAATTACTGCTAGTTTTTCCAAAATTTCGCATCACGCAATCTATCTGTTGCAACCATTTCTACCTTTTAATTGTGTGTCTTAATTTTCTTTGTTAATTATCACCCCAATGACGCGTTGATACTGACTAATTATTGTTAGCAAACATATCGCCACTTGATTAGTAAATTGTTGTTTATTGTAATACAAATGCTACACATATTAGAGTAGAGCCAGAGATGAAGACCTAATTGAAGAGTAAATACTTCTTCGACCAATCCTTCTGCTTTCTAAATGTCTAAATGGGGATTTTTTTTTCTATATTAAAAACAATCCTACCCAAAGTTCGATTTGTTTGTGGTAAACCAGAATTATCAAGTGGTCAAAAAAAGCAGTAAGTCATTCTCAGGCGACGATTTGTATAATCAGCTTCCACTACTATCTTTTACTGCTGGGATGAAAAGCATAAAAATGATTACCTGATTGGAAAAAAGTAGAAAAGTAAGAAAGCAGGGAATAATACAGATGAACAGTGCAGAGAATGTTTGCATACGAAAAAGCAGACTTATATGACTACTCACCAAGAACCATTTTAGCTGGAGATTCTGGAGGTAACCAAAATATAACAAGCGTTAATGATGCCAGTAGAACGCAGGGTAGAACCAAGATGTAAGAAAAGAATGCAGCGTTTCTTCTTAAACTGTAAAAGGTGAATAAGACATTGACAAACTAATTATTTCAAAATGCGTTTTTACAAATGTAGTTCATTCATGAAATTAGTAAATAGTATTCCTCGTTATTTCAGATTTCATATGAAGTACCTACATAAGAAGAATTTGTAGAAGTGATCAATGTATTGCAAAAACATTTTTAAATAATGTGGATAGTGCTAATTGTTCAGATCTAACGTCGTACAGTCTGCGTAGATTTACTCAGTAACCTTTCCTCTAAATAAGCGTGCAAAGAAAGCATAAATGCGATTCTAACCTAATGCAAGTTTTTCACAAACTTGGCAACGAATTGTACAATGAGTGTATTTCACCACTTTTTGATCATTTTTAAAGAAAAAAAAACATAACTTCATGTTTAGTTGGGATCATTAAAGACGGACACTGTTATAAGTATCGTGTATTCTTCCCACCATATTGTACCTACAGATATTGTTTTTACATTATATATGAATGTAAATAGTTTACGTCGTACTACATTTTTAGGATAGATTTCGTCACGGATGAACATCACTCATGTAACCATTGAAAACTGAGGGGCACTGACAGACATTTCTATTTAATTTCCGACTCTTCAACAGTGTATATCCTGCTAAAGAGCATAGTCAGGGCCTTTAGATTACAAGGCAAGCCCTCCAGTCAGTGGCTCTATTGATGATGTCAATTTGTAACCATAACTACCATGAAATTAATTAAATTCTTGCAATAGAGTACTCGAAAATAGTGTGTTATTGAGTAGCAGTTATTTATTACCGGTACCTCTATAATAGTATCCAAGTGTTGTTGCATTAATATTTAAAAAGCCAGTAGATTTGAACTTAATTATTTGGTGGCACATTAGTAGAATGCTCACCAACCACACAGGTCCTCAGGGTTTCGATTCCCGTCCGACTCTCTTTTTTACCTCGCTAAGCCAGTAATAAGACTGTTAAACAGGGAACGTTGAGCATGAGGCTAGCAACATCACCCCGTAAAAACAAAAACACCTTTGAAACTGAAACTTCAAAGCTCTAGCTTGAAGCCTGATGTTCCACTGGGAAAGCTAAGGAATGAAATAATAAATTATCAAGATTAGCAGCTTGAAGACTGTTCTGAATTCAGACAAAGGGACCCATAATATGCGCATGTGTATTAATACAATCCAGCTAAGCACTATCGAGTGTTAAGCCTTGTGAATAATATCAGATTTGGATTAACGGGTCATGGGCACCTGATAAATAAGCAGTGTTCTAGAGACAACTAGTACACCATAGAATCACCCCGTATTTAAATAATCATCTATGCACTCGACAAAACACCAAACTTACAAAAGAAAAAATGTCAAATCAGGATAGAATTCTGGACAACATGGATAGGACTTTACATTTCTTAAGGCTGGACAAGCTATTATCTCCCACTCATTGCTTTCTGTGTAATCACTTAGTAGAACTTGTGCTTCATTTTTAATGAAATTAACATCCAGTTTATTTCCATCATATGTCCAAGAACCAAACTTAAGATGACATATTTGCTCATCAAATGGAAATGATTTTATATCAATTTTACACGAGGATTTGAAGATGGCAGGTGGCATCCAAAAAAGTTCACCAGTGTGTTGAACAATAATCATTGCATCACGCATTTCCTTCAGTCTCTCATCAGCACTACAAAACAAAACACAGTAAGTTAGTAAACTCTAGAAACAATTCATGGGAAGATACTAATATTTATGAGATGGCAACCATAACGAAGGTATATAGACACCATGAATTGTAGTTTTGAACAACAAATATATTTTTAATCCCAAGATAGATACATTTTTTTCAAAGCTATGGTATTTTTGCGGTATATTCACAAAGATAATTTCTCATTGAGTGTGTATCAAACAAAATAAGTGTTATCAATGGGTGCTAGATTGAACTTGTAATCAATTCTTTGCATTCGCTTAAACTTCGTCCTGGAAATATTAAAAATGACAAATAATATCAGCATCCATAGAATAAAGCTAATAATACAGTTACTTTGAAAGTTTGGTTGCTCTTCCAATCTGAAGTTAATTCCTAGCATAACTTAAAGCACAGCTTCTTCAGGAAGAATGCATTTTCAGGTTTCCATGTAATCACCGACCAATGCCACAAAATGCGTATTACTGTGTGAAAGTAGTGCATTTCAAAGTCATCTATGCAACGCAGTAGAATCAGTGTTAAAGAAATACTGACCAAAGGTTCTCTACAAAAGCAGTTGCTGAAAGTGAAGTGTTTCGAACAAAGAGTCAATCCAGTTTGTACATTTATCATATCATGAAAAGTTGCAGTAACACGACACAATATCAAATCACGCATCTCACCAGACGTTCCTTACGGAAACTTGGAAGCCTTTTAGCATGCTTTTCCGAGAACTAGTATTCCTCTGGGTAGAATATTTGGACGTGATATACAGATGTGGACAGTATTTCTGAGCATAGCAGCTGCAAGTTAGCAATAGACAGATATGACTGAACGAAGGAGAATTTGTCTTCTATTCAATGAAAATTACAATTTCGCCCTCAGTAACAAAGTCGACAGTTTGTATGTGGATGAAAGACAAGGGCAATGACCAGAGCTAATAAATACTTTCACTAAATTCTGCAAGCTCCACAGTTATGAATACATGAATGTAGTTAGTAAAATATAGCAGCTAGTATGGGTGGAACATTTCAATATATCAGTGTCGAAACAATCAGTATTATATCAAATTTGTAAGTCGAATTAACGAATGTTAGATGTTAAAGGCAAATTATGAATTAGTTCAATGTTTATTGTGAATTAAAAATATTTTGAATAGGCTGATCTGGAAATGGCAAGATAAACTCTACATACACTTATTCACACATTCAAGAAATATAAATGTATTTTTTAGTTTGTTCATCCTATAGTAGACGACTGTCAATCAACAGTGATCTACACACTGAATAAGATGAGAAATTTATGTGACTACAATTCAACATGACTAACTAAAGAAAGAATCACATCAGTCCATGGAAAAAACACATATAGATAGACCTAATGAAGTATTTCGTGAAACTGTAATTGCATTGCACTTCATTCACGGATTTATACCTGTGCAGTCGGAAGAGGACGATGCTGGGAAAACCTGTTTCCCCTTAACTTTTTAGTCTGCATTTATGTATAATGTGAGTGTTCACACTCAGTATGAGGGTATTCATGAAAACGATTAGGGCGCGATATATGCGTTATACATACAGAATACTAAGTTTATGAAACAATAAAAATTCACGCAAAAATATTCTAGGAAACTACAGTATTTTCGCTGAAAATTTCAGACTGTATTTCGGTAACAATTGTTAGCTAAAGGAACATATACATTTCTGAGTATCTTTTGAATATGATGTTACGTAGCAAGGTTTATAAATAACAGTGAATAAAACTGTCTGTAGGCTTCCGCTTTTCTTATTGCCATTTGGCTGTCACAACATTTTGTTCAACATATCCGAATACAATAAGGATATTCAACTGGACATGTGCTGACACACTTCTAAAGAATTTCTAGAAAAATGTCATCAAAATAGATGTCAGAGTCACTAACAAAAAGCTTCAGTAAAAGTATTACATTTTATTAACTTACTAATTATATAGCACAATATCTGGTGTCCATATGTGTCTATATGGTACACGTACTTCATTAATATTTGAGTAGTTTTCAGGATTCCACTTGAGAATGTGATCAGTCCAGCGCTGTTATAACAAAGAGATAATCTACTGTAAATAATTACTTCATTCATGAGTTATGAAACATTTTAGATCAACAGTCCTATTCATCAAATAGTTACAACAAGATCAAAGATATATCATTAAGTCATCAAAACACTTCTCCTGATAATAAGTCATAGAGGTTCTTGATTCTTGGAAGGCAGTTAACTTAGACATAAGTATTCTAACTTCATGCCATTACATTTATAATGAAAGGTACTTCAAAAAAATAGATTAGCATTATTTTCACAGTAATGTAGTAAATTCGAGAACACCATACAATAAATTGTACTTCGAAATACATTATTTGGTGAGTCCTACTGTAAATGCTGGTGAACACTGAATCGTTTGTTTATTTGAACTGGTCTCCGTATTGTCGAGGGACAAGAAGGTTATCGTTGCTTTGGCGCTGAGGAACAAATGTAAATCTGTTTTGTTTTTGGCTGAAGAATAAACAATCGTATTGCCCCACCGTTTTCTACTCTTCTGTGTTGGTTAAAATACATAGTATCCTATGTATTCGGCCTAGTCTTCTGAAACCAGTGATAAGTCCAGAATCTTTGCGATCTGGATATCTGACACCTAACATATAATATTTGTAGCAAATGTTTAATATCACTAAACTTATTTAAACTATTACAACAATGAAATGTCTTAGAAACAAAGACAAGCATTATTATTGAGAACAATATGAATTAGGAGAGAAAAATATCTTATCATCACACCGAGATGTCAACCACTCAAAACCTAGATGTTTGAGTGTTGTTACTCGAGCTCATTTGTGAACTGAAGTAGAAGAAGGTGATCTATAAGATGAAATAACAAAGTGATGTAAATCCCTCCACTCTTCGTAGCAAGATTGCAATCAACAAGTAATCATTCTTGTTCCGTTTGAAGCAGGATAATATACCTAACAACAAACAAAGTGTCTTATTCATTTTAATCTATTTTTAGGGTGAGAAACACGTTACCGTTGTTGTTTCGTAAAACCAAATAGTGTACTACCAGTGGGTGAGTACTACCGATGAGTCCCAAATTAGAACGAAACAGCTGTCCAGTACTCCTTCGTTTTCAATGGTTACCTAACTGATATCAATCAAACTTGAAACAGTTCAAATCCTTACAAATTAGTTCTTGAAGACATCTTTAGTACCGCATATAACTATTTCCTATCTGTTGTTCTTGCTGCTGTATTGTCCTAGTAGTCAAATCAGGGTACTATTGATTTGTTACACTGTTTTGGATAAATGTTTAGTAATCGCAGACATAAAAACAATACACATCAGTGACTCCCAGACAATAAGGTATATTTAAAATGCATATAAACACTGCTTATTAATTCACTAAGAATGCTAATATTATTAGTATACTTGTGCCTGAAAAGAAGTAATTCTTAAATTCTTAAAAATATTTTTAAGGATACAGAATAAAGTGTTTTGCTAACTGCGTACATTTTCTTCATTGAACGACTAACGTACAGTTACAGATTAAATCTAACTTTGTTTTATTACATCTTTTGAAATTCATGCCGAATAAGCTGAGTTGCAAAGTAACTTGTAATAATACTGGAGCACTGTTGGTGCCCGTTAATTAATATCGAATTTCTTTTATATAACACACAATAAATAATATAAGACGTTTCATTTTTTTTTCTAAAACAGGAATCAAATTACAAAGATGACAAAGCAGAAGTTATCTCAGCCAAATATGCAGATTTACGGTGAGGCTACTCAGATTGACGAAACTATCCAATATCAATATTTTAGTACACACTTACACATGAAACAGATAATACACATAACCCACTGTTTGAATTTGTGGAATTTTTAAACATAAACACATCTATAATTGTATATATTGTTGGATTTATATGTTCAAGTTGCTCCAAGTCAGTGAGTTTATGGTTAAGATATCATTTTAGTTAAATGTACTGAACTATATTGCATGTTGTCTTATTGTATAGTTGTCGTCGCTTTTTGCCCTTTTTTCTGTGAACTGTTTCCTTTGTTGATGTTGTTCTCATTGTTTGTCCGTTATTTTCTGATTTTGAGGGGAGCAACCCAAAAAGTTGCTTCTCTCTAAACTTTTACTTAATGTAATCATTCTTTTCTCAGGCGTGAGGCTAGCAACCCCACCCTGTAAACAAAAATTGCTAAAGAAACTTCAGTATGTGAACCTCCTTGCACCAAAAGAAAAAGTCTGTGTAGGAACATGGAACGTCCGAACTATGTACGAGACTGGAAAGCTGCCCAGATCGCCAACGAGATGAAAAGATACGGAATACAAGTGCTGGGAATATGTGAGAGCAGATGGAATGGGAGTGGACTCACCAAATTGTCAACAGGTGAGTCAGTGATCTACTCCGGTCACCCAGAAGATAACCACACGCACACCGAGGGCGTGGCTATCATGATGTCACCAACGGCAACGAAAGCCCTGATACAATGGGAGGCGATTTCGTCCAGGATAATGACCGCCAGGTTCAACTCCAAAGGAAGGAAAGTGTCAATCATACAATGTTATGCACCCACAAACAACGCAGACCTCGAGAAGAAAGAAGAATTCTACAGGCAACTACAGGCAACAATGGACAATACTCCAGCTGGCGACATGAAAATACTAATGGGAGACATGAACGCCAAACTGGGACCAGACAATACGGGAAGGGAACTCATCATGGGTAGAGAAGCTCTAGGAGAAATGAATGAAAACGGAGAACTCTTCGCCGACTTCTGCGCCTTCAACGAACTGGTGATTGGTGGCAGTGTATACAAGCACAAAGATATCCACAAGGCTACATGGGTGTCACCAGACGGGCAAACCAAAAACCAAATCGACTTCATCTCAATCTCAAGGAAGTGGAGGCGCAGCCTACTGGACACAAAAGCAAGAAGAGGAGCAGACGTTGGCTCAGACCACTATCTCGTACAAGGGACAATCCAAATCAAATTAAAAGCTTTCAGGGAATCAGGAGCTGCAGATAGACCACAAGCCAAGTTCAACACTCAAAAGCTGAAGGACCAGGCTACAAAGGACATCTTCATTGCAAGCATAAAGGACAAAGCCGAGACACAAATCAACACTAGCGAAGAGGTCGGCGTTGAAAAGCACTGGAACAACTTGAAAACGGTGTGGAGCCAAACCTGCATAGAAATTCTAGGCAGAAAAAAGAGACAGGACAAACAGTGGCTCACTACGGACACTTGGAAACTAATAGAAGAGAGAAGGACAGTGAAGCAAAAGATTATCCAGTGCACGACGAGCAACAAAAACAGGAGCTGAATGCAAGCTACAATACACTGAACAAAAGAGTGAAGAAAAGTGCCAGGGAAGACAAAAGAAAATATTATGAAACCATGGCAAACGAAGCAGAACAAGCTGCAGGCAAAGGAGACCTCGCCACACTCTACCAAACAACTAGGAACCTTTCGGGCAAACGTTCGACACAGATTAAGCCAATAAAGGACGACAATGGAAAGTCAATCACCAAAGAGGTGGAACAGAGAAAGCACTGGGTTGAACACTTCAAAAGACTTCTAAATCGTCCGCCACCTACAACACGTCCAGCAATACCAACAACGGAAGCAGAACTACCAGTGAACACTGACCCCCCGACGAAATCAGAAGTCCTGAATGCAATCAAGATGCTTAAAACTGGGAAAACACCGGGACCAGATGGAATCCCAGCAGAGGCTTTGAAAATAGACCCAGAGACAACAGCGGACTTGATGACACCACTACTGGAGAAGGTGTGGAAAGAGGGCAAAGTACCCGAGGATTGGAAGAACAGTTACTTATTCAAACTTCCAAAGAAAGGAGACTTAAGTCAATGTAAAAACTGGCGTGGAATTATGCTTCTGTCCATTCCAAGCAAGATACTAAGTCGCATCATCCTGGAGAGAATCAAACAAGCCCTAGATGAAAAACTTCGTCCGGAACAGGCTGGATTCAGGAGAAACAAATCATGTATTGATCAAATCGCCACTCTACGGATCATCATTGAACAAAGCTTGGAATGGCAGTCACCTCTCTATCTCAACTTCATCGACTTTGAAAAGGCCTTCGACAGCGTCGATCGAGAGGTCATTTGGAAACTACTTCGCTACTACGGGGTCCCATCGACAATTATACACCTCATCCAACAGTTATACGACAATGCTGCATGCCAAGTAATCCACAACGGGAAACTTACGGAAGCCTTCGAAGTGAGGACGGGAGTGAGGCAAGGCTGTCTACTATCACCAATGATCTTCCTGATTGCAATTGATTGGATAATGCGACAGACAACGGCAACCAACGAGGGAACAGGCATAAAATGGACTGACACAAAAGACTTGGAGGATCTGGATTTCGCCGATGATATATGTCTGATTTCCCATAAACTGGAAGATATGCAAGTGAAAAGTAACAAGTTGGCAGAAGAAGCATCAAAGATAGGACTTCACGTGAACATAGATAAAACAGAGATGATGAAGATTCCTAGCCAACATCAACAACACCAACAGACCACAATAAGCATAAATGGGAAGAACCTGAAAGAAACAACCTCCTTCACCTACCTGGGAAGCATCGTCTCAACTACAGGCGGAACTGACGAGGACATCAAAGCCAGAATCGGAAAAGCAAGACAAGCTTTCATTACTCTCAAATCTGTGTGGAGGTCAACAGCACTCAGCATCAAAAATAAGATCCGGATTTTCAACTCCAATGTGAAGTCAGTGCTACTATACGGATCAGAGACTTGGCGAGTCATAAAGAGCATCTCAAACAAACTTCAAACCTTCATTAACAACTGTCTCCGCTCAATACTCAAGATCAGATGGCCAGAAAAGATCAGCAACAGGGATCTCTGGGAGCGAACCAATCAGGAACCGATTGTGAAACAAATAGGCAGAAAGAAATGGAGATGGATTGGCCATACGCTGAGGAAACCATCAAGTGACATCACTAGACAAGCCCTCGAGTGGAACCCGAAAGGGAGGCGG